GCAACTGTGCCACTGAGGAGAAGATCTGGGAATTCCTGAATAAGATGAGAATATATGATGGGAAGAAACACTTCATATTTGGGGAGCCCAGAAAGCTCATCACCCAAGATTTGGTGAAGCTTAAATACCTGGAGTACCGACAAGTGCCCAACACTAATCCTGCACGCTACGAATTCCTATGGGGTTCAAGAGCCCATGCTGAAACCAGCAAGATGAAAGTCCTGGAGTTTTGGGCCAAGGTCAATCAAACTGTCCCCAGTGCATTCCAGTTCTGGTATGAAGAGGCTTTGAGAGATGAGCAAGAAAAAGCCCTAGCTGCAGCTACATTCAATGATGGCAGTGATGCCATGGGCAGAAAATGTTCCAAGGCCAAGGCTAGCAGCTCGTCCCACGCCTAGTGAAGTTGAAGCAAATTTTTCATTTTGTGGTTAAAGAGGGCAGTCACTGTTCCAAGGAGTGAAGGGCTGGGTGTTACTGGAGGGAACACACTGTATAATACCTTTTTGTTCCAGTTCTAAATGGATAATTTGAAGATTTATCTGTATTTTGGGGAGTATTTTTCAAATGTTCCTTTTATTTAACATTATAATCTAAGTTTAGGATTCATATTGGTCACATTTGTTGTTTTTTGGTTTAAGAGTAAAAATGTTGCTGTTTTGTAAAACAGATTGAGAAAAGTTCCATCTTATTTAGTGATCTGGTGCAAAATAACCTGGAATTAGAATAAGCATTTCCTTGAATTTTTTTTTAAAAGGGCATTAAAATGTACGGGATTAAGAAATATAGAAAGAGAGTAAGATGGTCAATATTTTGTTTCCTAAGTGTTTTTGCTCTGTGTTTTAATAAAATGAAAGATACATAGCCATATATGTCTGGCTTATTTAATAATGTAGAATTTAATAATAATAAATTAGACCTCATGCTCACACACTCATTTATTCTTCAAGCATTAACTGAGCATCTGCTTTTGGAAGGATCCATGCTAGTACTGGGAGGGCTAGGAAAAAGAAGACCTAGCACCTGACCTTAAAATTACAAGGTCAAGAAGCAGCTATCATCTAAGGAAAATGGTGACATGCACTCTAAGACCAAAAGGGTAAGACCAAAATGATAAGATGGGAGAGAGGTGGTTCCACATGAGAACAGTCAAGTATAAATTATCTAATCAAGGCTCTGTGGGGCCTAAGGAAAGTGCAGGCCCCTCAATGGGAGTTACGTGAGCTGCAAGGTGGGCTGGATGAGGCTGTGTATGGTGAGCAGGGGCTGGGCTCTCAGATGTTGCCTCTCAGAGGCGCGAGACGAAGTTTGGAATGGGAAACAGTTCTTAACAGTTACTTTAAGATCATGGATAAACCAGGGGAACTTGGGGCAGGAATGTGTCCTGTGCTCTTGTTCCAATACAAATAAACACAGCACACACTAGGTGTTTTGTGCACATCATCTCCAGCCACTTTATGAGAAATAAGGGTAATATCCTCAAGGGAGATGGGAGGCCCAGAAGCCACTGTGCTGGCACTCTTTGCCCTGGGCTGGGGGATCCAGAGCCTGTTCCATGAAAAGCACATTCAATTAGGTTACCTCGTGTGTAATCTGGCATACTCTAGGTAAGGTCTAGTTTTTGAGAGGTGGTTAAATGAATGAAAATAAAAGTGGTTTAGATGGAAGGATACTTGAAAGAGATGGAAGTTTTTGGTCCTTGAAACACATTTTAGAATCTGTGTTGCATCTACTCAGGAAGTCTACCTCATACTAATATTGAGTCATCTATCAAGTAACGAGAAAATATTAATTAGTTTTCCTTTCTAAGTAGCACTGTCTGATAGAGCTTTCTTTGTCCTAGAATATGGCATAATCTCCGACATCTACATTGAAAAATAAGGCCCAATGTAGTGGATTGCAATGTCAGGGGACAAAGTAATCATAATAAGAACTGGCACTATTTTATGTCTCAATACATCTCAAGTACTCTTTATATACATTGTATACATTTTACCAGTCCTACAAAACAGATTTTATCAAACCCACTTCACAGAAAAAACGTCTGAAGCCCAGTCTGTTAATGCGTCCAATTTTTTCATGGCTGGTAAGTGACAGGACTGGGGCAAGACCCCTAGTCTGAATTAGTGTAAAGCACACTCTGTTACATGCCTCCCAACCTGAGACTGTGTCCCCTTACTCACTTTCGTTCTCACTACTCCCAAACGTACATCCAGTGATAAGTTTCTGTGCCCAATTTGCTGGACTGGAATACAGAACCAAAGCAACAAAATTACCAAAATGATTGAGATGAATGAATAAAGGTGAGAAAGACAATATTTGATGATAATATGATTACATAACCAAAGACAGATAAACTCAAAAGATCATGGTCTCACATTCTGTCATTCTGGACAGTTTCCTCCTTTTTTAAGGAAGTTAAATATTTTCCAAGAGAAATACATAAGATGCTGGTAAAGAGAAGAAATAGATCAATGTGTTTCTTTCTCTGACAGTATGACTTCTATCCTGGGGCTTCTGCCTTGTGTTACAGCTTCCCTATCTTACATCACACCTGGGACAAGGATGCATTGTCTGCAAGATTTTTTTGTAGGGAAACTGGTCAAGACTTTTAAGGGATGTGGCATTTCCCAGGAAGTCATTAATTAAGGGACAAGAACCAAGAAAAAGACTCTCATATAGGAGGACAGAGCAGAGCAACATGCCAGACACAGTTCCTAGCCTGAGCATTTCCTCACTTATTCTTCAAAGTTCTTAGGGACTTGTGAGTTCCTGGACCTCAAATCAATAGAGGGAGGAGTCCTATTCTCTGACACATACCAAGTTGAGGGACCTGAATAAAGAATGAGGCAAGCATTCACTCCAATAGTCTTGACGGGATGTGGCTGAACCTGATTTCTACTCCGGAGGTCTTAAGAAGGTAAAGATTATTATCTCAGGCTGGCTGACTCAGGTCCATAGAGATAAGATTACTAAGGTGTGCCAGAAGTAAAGTGAGTACCCTGAAGGGTGCAGGAACCACCAAACCCCTATCAGTGTAGACCCAATCCTCCCTATTGTCATCTCTGAGAGATTCAGGCATGAATGTCAGACAGAGGCACCCTCATATCATCAGTAGTAACAGAGAAGCAAAAATCTTGTTCTGAGGTGGGCAGTCCCAGCTCAGCAGGGGGAGGAATATTAAGTCTTCCTGCGAGTCAGATTTAGGATCCTGAGTTGGAACCTGAGTAGGATAATCCACCATAAGACCTCAACCTGTCTACCACAGCTGCCACTCTATGGGAGACCATAGTCACTTATAGCCAGATAAGGCCACCCTCTCTTCCTCCTATCGGATCTCAGGGAGGTGCAGGCCTTTTCAATGGAGAGGTCTTGAGGTCAAAAAGGAAGGGAGCCCCAGGATCTTATAGGAACCAAATAAAGGAAACCAACTGAGAACTGAGGGGACTGCTTACCTCTAAATAGAGAGGACAACAGAGTCTGGCCCCCTGCAGAAATCGTAAACTGCCAGGGCAACATGTGAGGCCCAGGCTTCACCACTTTTTTTTTTTTTTTTTCTTATACTTGACCTTCTTTTTTCAGAATAGTTTTACGTTCACAGCAAAACTGAGCAGAAAGCACAGAGAGTTCCATAGGCATCCTGTCCTCCCAGGCACAGCCTCCCTCATATCAACCTCCCAACCCAGGGTAATACAGTTGTTACAATTGAGCATACATTGACACATCATTATCACCCATCATTATTGTATTATCAATTTAAGACAGAATTGCTTTACTGCCTTAAAAGTTCTCTGTGCCTCATCTACTTTTCTCTCACTCTTCCCAACCCTTGGAAACCACTCAACTTTGTACTGTTTCCTTACTTTTGCCTTTTCTAGACTGTCGTATAGATGGAATTATGCATTGTGTTGCCTTTTCAAATTGGCTTCTTTCACTTTGTAATATGTATTTAAGTTTCCTCCGTGTTTCTTTGTGGCTTGATAGTTCATTCCCTTTTAACACTGAATAATATTTTATTCTGTTAATTTATCCACTCTCCTTCTGAAGGGCATCTTGGCTGCTTTCCAGTTTGGGCAATTATAAATAAAGCTACTATAAATGTTTGTGTGCAGGTTATTTTGTGAACATACGTTTCAACTCATTTGGCTAAATAACAAGGAGTGCAGTTACTAGATCATATGATAAGACTCTGCATAGTTTTGTAAGAAATTTATAAACTGTATTCCAAAGTGGCTGTACCATTTTGCATGTCCACCAGCAATGACAGTGTGCTCCTATTGCGCTCCACATCCTCGTCAGTATTGGGGTTTTCAGTGTTTTTGATTTTGACCATTCTTATAGGTATGGAGTGGTTTCACATTACTTTAATTTGCAAGTCCCTATGTTGTGCATCATTTCATGTACATATTTACCTTCTGCATATATTATTTGTTGAGATGCTTGTTTATATCTTTTACCCATTTTAATAGAGTTGGTCAGTTCTTATTGTTCAGTTTTAAGACTTTTTTGTATGTTTTGGTTAACAGTCCTTTATCAGATGTGTCTTTTGAAAATAAATTTTTCCCAATCTGGGAGTTATCTTATTCTTTGTGGTATCTTTAGCAGAGCAGAAGTTGTAATTTAGTGAAGCCCAGATTATCAATTTTTCTTCATAGATGCCCTCACATTTTACATCAGAACTAGAAAAGGTGAAATTCTTGGTCTGAAGTCGCTGTTATCAGTCAACAGAAGAGACAGTTCACAACCCTGCATAGAATCCAGATGAGGAAGCTGAGTGCAAACTTGGGACCTGAGGCTCCAAGGACAGAGAACACAAAATGTTTCAAAGCAGGGGTGATGGGTTGAGGTGCCCCTATATTTCCCTCATCTGGGTCCCATAAAAACTTAAAGACTCAACTTCACAACACCAATAGAAGGAGGCTGAGGCCCTGCCAAGAGCTGACATGATAATTCTAAAGGTAATCAGAGTGGATCCTTTCCAAGCCAGAACACAGAGAACCTAGTCAGCCCCCGGCAGGGTTGGCAAGCTGCAGCCTAAGGCACATTGTAACCTCCTCAGCTGAGTTCTCAAGGGACGGAATGACTAAGAACAATAGCCCAGTGAATACTTAGAACAGTGTTCTCAAGGAATCCTGCAGAGACGGCTTCTGAAAAGCCAAGGTAGTATCTGCCTGCTAAAGGTGTTCTCAGGATTTCAATCTCTCTTCTCCAGGCACCACATCACCTGCCCTTCCGCCTACACTCCTGCCTGCTGTGCCTACCCACAGCCATCATGCCTCGAGGCCAGAAGAGCAAGCTCCGTGCCCGTGAGAAACGCCAGCGGGCCCGTGGTCAGAACCAGGATATCAAGATTGCTCAGGCCACTGCAGCAGAGAAAGAAGAGTCTCATTCTTCTTCCTCATCTGTTTTGGGGGATATTCCCTCCAGCTCCCCTGCTGCTGGCATTCCGCAGGAGCCTCAGAGAGCACTACCCACCACTGGTGCTGCAGCTATGTCATGCACTGGATCTGATGAAAGTGACAAGAGCCAAGGTGAGGAAAAGGCAAGTTCTTCCCAGGCCTCAACATCCACTGAGAGCTCAATCAAAGATCCTATAACCAGGAAGACGCAGATGGTGGTGCAGTTCCTGCTGTACAAGTATAAAATGAAAGAGCTCACTACAAAGGCAGAAATGCTGAAGATCATCAGCAAAAAGTACAAGGAGCATTTCCCTGAGATCCTCAGAAGAGCCTCTCAGCGCATGGAGCTGGTCTTTGGCCTTTCCTTGAAGGAAGTCAACCCGACCAGTCACTCCTACACCCTCGTCAGCTTGCTAAATCCCACCAACGATGGAAATGAGAGCAGTTCCTGGAAATTTCCGAGGAATGGGCTTCTGATGCCTCTACTGAGTGTGATCTTCTTAAATCGCAACCGTGCCAGTGAAGAGGAAATCTGGGAATTCCTGAATGTTTTGGGGATCTATGATGGTAAGAGGCATATCATCTTTGGGGAACCCCGAAAGCTTATCTACCAAGATCTGGTGCAGGAAGGATATCTGGAGTACAAGCAGGTGCCCAACAGTGATCCCCCACGCTATCAATTCCTGTGGGGTCCAAGAGCCTGTGCTGAAACCAGCAAGATGAAAGTCCTCGAGTTTTTGGCCAAGGTGAATGATACCACCCCCAGTAACTTCCCACTCCTTTATGAAGAGGCTTTGAGAGATGAACAAGAGAGAGCCAGAGCCGGGCCCAGAGTTGCAGCCAGGCGTGGCACTACTGCCATGACTAGTGAGCATTCAAGGGACACATCCAGCAGCTCTTCCCACCCCATGTGAGATCTAAGGCAAATTGTTCAATCTGTGGTTGAAAGACCTGCTGCCTTCTATGTTCCTGTGCTGCATGAATAACTTTGTTGAACTTTCCTGTGATGCTTCTTAAAGTAGGTTTATTTAGATGCAGAATATAAGCTTAGAAACGGCATGCATCACACATTTATTGCTGTTTATCAGGTTGGTTTAGTAATAAGAGTTTGGTTTTTGAAATACAAATAGAAAATCTGAAAATCGTTTTTGTGATACAGAGCAAAATAACATGGCATTGGAATAAGGTTATCTTTAGAAACTTAAAATAACCCCACAGTAAAATAGGTAGAATCTGAAGACAGAAAGAGAAGAAAAGCAAAAGTTGGTTTATTTTTGGTTTATCTTACTCCATTCAGTCTTTTGTTGTTCATAAATTTAAAAGTTACATACCTGGTTTGCTTAGATTATTCAAGAATGTGGCGGCTTGGGCCAAGGTCAATGACAGTGTCCCCATTGTCTTCCCTCTATTAAGAGAAGACTTTGAGACATGAGGCAGACAGTGTTGCAACTGGGCCTGGCATGTTCCAGTGTGATGTCCAGAAGTGTCTCCCACTCCTTGTGAAGTCTGAGGTATATTCTTTACTTTTAATTAAAGAAAATATTAACTTTCTAATTAATGGAGGGCCAAAGAGGAGTTGGTGGGAACACCATGTATCATATATTTGTATGTAAAATAATTTATCTTTTCATTTTCCTGTTTTTCAGTGTTCTTTTAATTGCAGAATTATTTAGTTGCAGAATCTAAGTTTATGAATGGTATGAATCGCTCATTTATTAAAATATGTCGGGTTGAAGAAGAACTTTTGCATTATGTAAAAGAATTTAAGATCTTTAAATCGTTTTCTGTGATCTAGAACAAGAGAATATGACATTGGAATATGGAATTTGTGAAAAGGAAATTACCTAGCAATAAAGTTGGTGGGATCATGAAATAGAGAAAAAAAGTAAAATGTGGTCAATTCTTGCTTTGTTTTATTCCTTTTAGTCTTTCTTTGTAAAACTGAAGTATATGTATCTGGATTGGGTTAGCTTTTTCAGGAATGCGGGAGAAATTAAATAGCAATACATTTGACTTCCTGCTCACTTGCACTTTAATTGTCAAAATATTAATTGAGCAGCTGTTGTTTGGAGGGCTCCTAGCTAGTACTGGATAAGCAAATAAATAAATAAATAAATAAAACCCTGCCCATAGAATTTTAGAATTCACCAGCAGCTATCACATAATGAAGGTGATGAGATAGTCTCTAAGACCTAAAGACAGTTGAAAAGAGGGTATAAGGTGGGGTGTTTCCAGTGGAAGAATCTAGTGTAAATGTCCTAAGCAAGATAATTGAGACTCTGGGAAACTGAACATACTGCAGTAAGAGGTAATTTTATGTTGCTGCATAGTGAGTAGATGGAGGGCACCGAGCAGGGGTCACACACTCAGATGATGGATCTCAGAGTTGAGAGTTAGAGACTGGAATGAAAAATTGCCCTTAACAGTTACTTTGGGATTGTAGAAAAACCAGAGGGAATCTTTGCCTGGGGCAGGGATAGAAAATGGCCTGTGCTCTTGTCCCAGTGCAAGTGAATCCAGTACACAAATTAGGTGTTTTATGCACATAGTCCCCAGGGTGTTTCTAATAAAGGTGATACTCCTTTAAGACTGGAAACTCATACGCCACTGGGCTAATACTCTGCCATCAGCTGGGGAACCAGAATCCATTCCATTAAAAGGGCATTCATTTTTCTTTTCTTTCATGTGTTTTGGAAATTTTAAGGGAGATCTAGATTTTTGGTGATGGTAAAATAAATGAATATAAGAGGTTTTTGTATGAAAGGCTAGAGTTGGTCTTTGAAGCAAACCCTAGAAGGTTTGAGTTGCTTTCAGCTGAGAAAGACAACTCCACACTCAAACTATGATTCAATATGGAAAAGATACTTATAGAGTTTCTTTGTAAGCTGCATTTTGGGCTGATTTGTAGTTCCACGTCTTAGAATGCTGTGTATTCTTTGTTACCACTTGGGCTTAAAAAAAAAAAAATCAGTAGGGTGGATGATTTCTTCTTTAGTTGAAATAATCATAGTAATAAGCATTGTTTAAAGTCTCAATGCACTCCAGGGCTTTGCACATGTTAATCACATTCCACCAGTCCTACATCACAAGGCTTATCAAGCCCATTTCACAGATGCAGAGCCTAAGGCTCATAGAGTTTGGTAATGTGCCCAAGTTCATACAGCTAGTAAAGTGATAGGGCTGGAAATAGACTGCTGATCTGAATTCCTCTAGAGCCCACACTGTTCCACTCCTCCCAAACTGAAGCTTACCACAAGTTGCTTAATTCATTTTCTTCTGCTAACCCAAAGTGTATCTCAGGTAAGAAAGAAGAGGTCTCTATGCTCCAAACACTGGACTGGAATACAAAACCAGAGCAAGAATAATACCAAAATAATTGACACATGTGAGTCAAAGACAGAAAGAAATAATACTCGGTGACAATATGATCATCAACAGAAGCAAAATCAGATAGCTTCAAAAGATCAAAGGATTGCAAAATCATCTGGCTTCACCCTTTTCTGTAGAAAGTAAGTCTTTTAGAACTACCCTTTGGTTGGTAAAGTGAAGGAACAGATCGCCATATTTTTCCCCCTGAGAGCACAACATCTGTCCTAGGCTATCCACCTTCTGTTTCAGTTTCCCAATGTCACATCACTTCTGAGACAGGGACCTCTTCTCTGCAAGCTTTGCAAAGAGGAAATTGATCAAATTTTTGCAGGGATGTGACATTTCCCTGGAAGACTTTGATCAAGAGACAGGAGCCAACATGAGAATCCTCATGAATGAATAGTGGGGAGAAAACCACTCCAAAATGTAAGGTTTCATCCAGACCCTTTAGGAGGACCTCAGTTCAGTAAATAGAGGAGTCCCAGGTTCTGATACATACAAAGGCGAGGAGCAAAACTGTGGAGTTCTATTGAGGCCTGTCCTTACTATCTGTTCTTGCAGGTTGCAAACTATGATCATATGAGGATCGTCCAGAATTCCAACTCGAAATTCTCAGGACCTTGACGTGAGAGGAGCAGGTTCAGGTAAATAAAGGGTGGAGTTACAGGTTTGCTCACTTGTCAAGGTGAGGGCCTGAATGTGGACTAAGGGTTGCACCCACTCCATAAGAAGAGGTCTCACAGAAAGCCCCGGGTGGGAATGGCAGGTTGATTTCTGCCTGGAAAGTCTCAGGGAGGTGACTGGTTACGTGTATTTGGGTCAGCATCAGTTTCACAGAGGGAAGAGTCTGAGACTCTAACAAGAATCACTGTAGGACTCTTAAGTGTTATGAGGGGACTCCACCAGCAGACAAGACCCCACAGATTTCATCCCGTTTTGAAGCAACAGACAGAGCTATCTGCCTAAGGTACCTCTCATTTCCGCCTGGAAGGTCTCAGGGAGGAGAGCATCGGGCCCTGAAGGGAGTCATTCTAGTTCTGCCTGGAGAGGAAACCTGAGCGGGAGTCCTAGTGAGGACTCGAAGTGCTGATGAGAAGACCTCTCCCCAAAAGAGAGGTTCACAGAGTTCTTCCTGCCACTGCTGTCAGGCCTGTGTGGCCCAGGCAGGGGTGGCCTGTGTGGCACGCTCAGATTTCCACCGTGGGTTTGAGGGAGGTTGGGGTATTGTTTGGAGGTTGGCGGAATTGGGTCAGCAGGCGGAGTCTTCCCAGGCTGCTAGATACTAAGGTAAGGACTCCTAGTGGGTACGTAGGGATTAGGGACACTAGAACAGTGACCTCTCCCATAGCATCATGCTCCTGCCGTCACCCTTCAAAGGCCCCAGGCTGCCGAATGTGGCTCATCCTGACTTCCGCTTTGAAGGCGAGGACTCCAGCAGATATGGTTCATCCTCACTTCCACTGTGAGGGCAAGGAGCCAAGCTGATGTTGCTCATCCTCCATCTTCACTTCCGCTTTGAAGGCGGGCGGGGGGGCGGGGGGGACCCCAGCCGGATGTGACGCAGACGGGGCGGCCCCGGGCGGATGTGACTTACCACTTTCGCTTTGAAGGCGAGGAGGCGAGTCACCGATTAAGGGGCGCAGCGTCTGGTAGGCCGACGGTGAATTCTCAGGACTGGTTGGGAGTCAAGGTGAGGACCCTGAGTGTAAGTTGAAGAGACACCTTCACCCGTAGCAAATAGGGCCCCATTAAGTTCCGCTTTTGCGTTTGGTCCTGGGAGGCCTCAGGTAACCAGATGGGTAGCAACCATGTCTTCGATGACTCAGGGAGATGAGAGCTTTGGTGTAAGGCATATAGACTCAGGTCTATGGTGGGAACAGTCTTAAACCCTACTAGGAGTCATGGACAAAGTCCTGTGTGACGACTGAGGGAATCGAAGACTCCAGAACAGTGGGGCCAAGAGTCCCGCCCCTGCTGTCGGCACGCACAGGCCCCAGTCAGCCTTGGCGGGATGTGGCTCGCTATGACTGTGAACTTAGGTCCAAGGAATATGAGGACCTTTGTCTACGGGGCATAGTCTCAGGACCATGTGATGGGTGGAGTCCCCGAAGGCGTGGCGAGTGGAGGTGGAGATCCTGAGTGAGGAACTGGGGGCTACTTAATACACAAGGGAGAGAGCCACACCTGACGCTGTCCCTGGGAGTCCCAGGCCAGAGCTGGTAAGCTCAAGTACTCCCTGTTCTGCCTTCAGAGGCTTAGGGAGAGGAGGACCTTGCTTTAAGGCCTCGCTGCCCCAGTTCAGTGGAGGGATAGGAGTCATACGCTGTGACAGGTGTCAAGGTATAAATTCTGTATGAGGACTGAGGTCACCACCTAGTCCAGAACAGGTGGGAGCACACGAAGTCTTACCTCGGCCGTTCATTCCTGAAAAGCCAGGGTTAGAGCTCTCAAGTTGACATTCTCGTTTCCTTCAGGGGCTCTTTCAGGTACATCATGGCTTTGGTTTAACGTGAAAGCCCTTCTTTAGGACAGGGAGGAGGCCCAGTTCCTAATAGATGGTGATACTGAGAAAGTATGCGGGGACCCCTCCAAGAAAGAAGTAACCCACTTAGAGCACTATCCCCACTATGAGACCTAGGAGATCCAGGTATGGTGACATGATGAGTCTCACTCACTTCTTCCTAGAGCATCTCAGGGAAGTGAGGAACTTCATCAAAGGGGGCAGCTTTATGCTAGCAACTAGAGGATTCCCAGATAATTCCAGGAGTCAAGAAGACCCTGAGAATTGGGGGAACCACTCAAACCATAACAGTGAAAGAAACAATTCCTTCCTGATTTTCAGTCTTGGGAGACAATGGGCATTTGTAGCCAGATGAGAAAAATTTCACTTTTTCCTCGGGGAGTTGGCGGGGGGGTGGTTTGTATTACTGGATAGGCATTATATCGAGACAGAAGACACTGAGGGAGGAATAAGATGAGCACTGATCCAGAAAGTGGGGCTTCACAAAGTTCCACCCCCTCTCAGCCCTGGGAAACCCCAGGCAGAAGTAGCCAGATATGTCATCCTCTCAAGTCTAGCCCTGGGTACTCCGAGAGGTGAACACATTTGAATGAGGCTGGAAGAATCAAGTGGGCTTAGAGAGGAGCTCAGATTCTGCCCGAGTGAAGACTAAAGGGAACAACCACCCCAGAACACTGGAGCCCCATAGAGTACAGGGTGACTGGATGTGACTCATGCTTTCTTTCATCTTGGGATTATGAGGAAATGAAAATCTTAATCTGATGCAAGGGGTGTCAGGTCACCAGAGGGAGAATCTCCAGGTTGTGCCAAGACTCAGAGAGAGGACTTGAGGGAACTCCCACCTCATCAGTGGGGATCTCTCAGAGTCCTTCTTTATGTCAGCCCTAGGAAGCCCCAAGCATAAATGTCAGAAGTGCCCCTCAATTCCTCTTCAGGATTAACAGAGAAATGAGGGTCTTAATCAGATGGGTTAGCAGGAGGAGTGGGAGGCACTT